CCGGACGAGATGCGAGATCTTCTCCGGCGGCCGTGGTCTAGCGACAGCAGATCATCGGGTGTTTGACATCGAGAAGCTGCGCCAAGACGCAGATTGCATACGAGGTAGAGGTGCAACCCATGGGAAACCCATCGGAAACCCATGGGAAATGCATGTTTAAACATCACACTTTGATAGTGATAAGCTGGTTTGCGATAGAAAAACCCCGTCGTCTCTTGCAGCAGGCAGGTCTTGGACGTAGAATGTACTCATCTCGTACTGGCATATCTGCAAGAGCTATCTGCAAGCGCGTACACGTTCGATTCCTGGCCCCATGCATTGCAACCAGCTGCGCTAGGCGGTGCCTTATTTTAGGGCGCCATGGTGGTGCTCCTTTCCTAAACGCAGCCTGAAACGGCAGCATTCAGCGCTTGCCATGGAGGTCGAGCGGTGCCAGGACGACGCCGTCGCGGCGATCCGCGCTGCCATGGCGGACAGCAAGGTACATGGTGACAAGCAAGGTGAGATGACAGCGGCTATGTATGCGCAGGCGCAGCTGGCGTCGGTCAACTCGATCCTTGTCGGCTTCAAGGGCGGCCTCGACCGGCTCGAGGGGCAGATGATGCCCATCTATAGCCTCACCGAGAAGCTGCGCGAGACGCAAAAGAACATTGACATTAGCGTGCACGAGCTGCGCGCGGTGAACGAGAACTTTACGACCGCCAGCGACGTACTCCGAGGCTATGGGCCTTGCCTCAGCATCCTCCTATATAGGTCGCGACCGTGCTGCAGCAAGGCGCCAAGTACGACCAAGAGCGCTACATCAAGACGATGCACAAGCTCTTGCGCTCGATCGAGTTTCTCGAGCTCCACCGCGGCTACGAGGGCTCGGGCAAGGCGCTCGACCACGCCCGCCACGTGCTCACGCAGGCCCAGGCCAAGTGCAAGTCGGACTTTGTCTCGGACGTCGCCCTCGTCTTGCGCTACTCGGTCAGCGCACAGAGTTTGTCTGCCTCCACGCTTCACGACGCCGACGTCATGAAAGCGTCGAAGCTCCTTACGTGCCTCTTGAGCACGAAGCTGCCGCCGACGGCGCTGCTCGTCGAGTACGGCGAGCGACGGCTCAAGCTCGTGACCGAAGCACTCGACAAGGTCAAGGCGTACGTCATTTCCATTACCATCTCGACAGTCGTTGACGCAGACATGGCTGTAGCAAGGACGACGCAGGGTCGCAAGCGCGCATCGCCGAGTACCTGGACAACATCGTGCTCGCCATCCACGTACACTCCCCATATATAGAAGCAACACCAAGAAATTCCACGTACTAGGCCGAGAAGGAGCTCGCGAACCGCGTGTTTCCCAACGAAGACCTGGCCCACGCGGCGCTGAGCTGGACGGTTGCGCCGCTGCTCGAAAGTCTCACGAAAGACGTCAAGGAGGAAGATGCCAAAGACGTCTTCCAGCCCATGGAGCTCCACTACATGTTCAAGTCCAAGAGCACGTCGTTCCGGGACGTGCTGCAGGTCGACTCTTGGTTTCCATTTTCTGGATTCATGCACCATTGCGTAGCCGCCGCTGCGACTGCGCGAGCACCCAGGGAGCGAGACGACCGAGCCGTGGAAGCTCGTGGGGATCATCGGCAAAATCGAAGAAGGTCTCGCAGCCACGTCGCGCGTCAAGCTCGGCGCCTTCAAAGAAGACATTGCCGACTCGGTGCTCCACGACAAGCTCGGGCTCAAGGACGGAAACGTGCACCCGATCTCAAGCCACGTATGTGTTTATTGTATCTCGAACGTGGTGCTACGGGCGTGCGTTTAGACAATGCACTTTCTGCGTGAGCTCAGCGACCACGTCGTCGCGCTCGAGTGTCTCCTCTCGACCGACCAAACGAGCAACGTCACGTACTTTGTCGGTACGTATCTTAAGAAAATAACCGTCCATGTGACAATTGGGTGATTATAGACTCGGTGTTGATGAAGCTGCTGGACGCGCTGCAGGCAAAAGCCTCGGCCGCCAAGGCGCGCGGCGACCTCAAGGCCATTTTTCTCGTCAACAACACTTTTTACGTGGCGAGCGCGATGGCGCAGCTCGCAGGCGACTTTGCGAGCCAATCCCCGGTCGTGACGACAGCAATCCAGCAGACCATGCAGCCCAAGGTCGCTGCGCTTGGCGAGAAGGCCATGGCGGGCTTCGTCGAGGCGAGGTACGACTGTTTCGGACGGGTCTCGGACTCAGACTTCGAGTAGCTACGACGGGTTTGAGAGCATTGTCGCCGACCCGAAAAGCACGTTACAGTACAAGAGCAACAGCGCCGTGCTCACGCTCGAGAGCGGCCGCCTCCTCAAGGACAAGTTTGCGGTAGAAAAAACCGTCGCAAGGGAGATTCTCACATCGTGTCTAGCGCTTCAACGCCGCGCTGGAGGAAGTGCACACCCACCATGTACGGCGTGGAGGTATATTCTCAACTCCGAGCATTCGAGTAGAAGGCGTTTGTCGTGCCGGACGCCGAGCTGCGCGAGAAGCTGACGACGATGGCGGCGCAGCGCATCGTGCCAGGCTACCGCGCGTTCTACGACAAGTGCGTGCATATGATTGGGCCGAGCTCATCGCGCGTCGGTCGTAGATACGCGGGCATTCAGTTTTCCAAGAAAAACATGGAGAAGTACGTCAAGTACAAGCCCGACACCGTCCAGAGCATGCTCTCGGACCTCTTCCAGGGCGACCACGCATAACTTCAATACATCCAATGTCGATGACGAGTTTAGCTACATGGTGAGCGTTGCCTCCTGCACCACCGAGTCGACGTGACGCGCCTCTTTGATTGGGAACGGCAGCTTGGTCGGGCTCCGCTGCTTCTTGGTCGGCGAGTTGGCGTAGAAGGCCAAAAAGTACTTGAGGCTGCGGCAGCGACCTGCACCATATTAAGTGAGCCTCCACCTTTAACATGCTTGCAACATACGCACGGCGAGTGCCTTGGATTGTCCCTCGAGCATCGTCGCATACGTGCCGTCGTGGTACTCGATGCGAATCTACGCACATGGTATCGCACTCTACAAGAGCACGCTCCGGACCTTGTACGAGCGTGTGTCGACGTCGCCCGTCCTTTCGCCCTGCAAAAAAGCGTGAGAATTCAAACCAGTTTTGGCGATATTGCAGACCAAGCAGTCGACCGAGACGTCGGCGATTTCCGCGAGCTGCCGCACCACAAACGTGTCCTTCCTACGTCTTCTTTGTGAGCACTGGCGTATTGTTTTTGGGAACGTACCCGCGCCCAAGCACGTGGCTAATGCAGCCGCGTTGCGAGATGGAGATCGTGCCCTTGTTTCGGTCCATGCAAAACACTTCGACTTCGCTGCAGAGAAAGCAGAGCGCGCCGAGGAAAAAGAGGAGCACGTCGAAGAGGTACTGCCACCAAAAGCCTTTCGGGAACCGGTAGATGCTCGTGGACGAGAGCGCATACGTAAAGAAGCCCGCGCCGCCGAGGAGGAGGAGGCCGAGCCCCCAGAGGTGGTACGGGTACGTCACAA